GTCCCCCCCCCCCCCGGCTCGCGGCCCCGAGTGCGCCATCACTTTCAAGGCTGCCTCGGGCCCCAATCCCAAGCGAGGCGCGCCGCCCCCTTTAAAGGCGCGCCCGCCCCGTACCCTTTCGTTGCCCCTCGGAAGCCCCGTTCCCACCCGGCTGACACCCCCCCGTGCCCCCTTCACCCACAACCCCCCGCGGGGACCCCCCCCGGCTCGCGGCCCCGAGCGCGCCATCACTTTCAAGGCTGCCTCGGGCCCCAATCCCAAGCGAGGCGCGCCGCCCCCTTTAAAGGCGCGCCCGCCCCGTACCCTTTCGTCGCCCCTCGGAAGCCCCATTCCCACCTGCCCCCTTGGCGGCTGACACCCTTTACCACCCCCCCCTAACAGCTCCCCACCGGGGGACCGCACATGGCGCCACTGCAGCACCTTCCGCGCCCCCGTCCCAACCGCAGTTGTTTCACCCGTTTCTTTTGCTACGCGGCCGCTGCAGTCACCCTGCTGTGTGCAGGCCACCCTTTCTGGGCACCCGCTTTGACCCCAGAGCGGCCCCCCGCGACTTCGGCCAGTGAGGTTCCTCGTACCCTCAACCGTCACGCGCGCCGCGCGCTCACCTCCATCCTCAATGACGTCTGGGCACCCAGTCCCTCCCCCCGACCCCGCACCCGGCACCAAGCCCGCTGCCCCGCTGCCGCCACTGCCGACCCCACCGCCACGGCCACCGACCCCCCCAACTTACGCGCACACCGGGTCGGCGAAGCTGCCAACCCCGGCCCCCCTTCCCCACCACCCCCTGCCCCCGAACCCCACCCCACCCAACACACGTTCGCAGACACCATCCTGCTTAGCGATTCCGACGAGGCCCCCGCACCTCCCCCAGGCCCCTGCGCAGTTTGCTTAGAGCCTTTTGCCCCTGCTTGCCCCCGACGCAGGCGACCCATCGCCTGGCCCACCTGCGGCCACTGCTACCATTTCTCATGCTTAGCAAGGCTCAGAGCACAAGTACAGCCCCCCCGCTGTGCTCAATGCAGGTCCCCGTGGCCTGAGGGCCCGGAACATGACGACACACTGTCACGCTTGTGCGGCACTGTTGGTGTGAACCCGTTCCGCGACTCCGAAGCGGAGACCCCCGGCCCCACCCCACCACCCACCCGCCCCGCTTGGCGCGACCGCGCGCCACCCACCGCGCCAATCACCGCCAGCACAAACTCCTGGCTCTACGTCCCCCTCCTCTGGGCCGCGGCCGGCCTCCAAACCCAAGCTGCCGCACAAGCCTGGCAAACCCAGTGCGGCGAGTGGTGGACCCTAGCCCGTGACACCCTCGCCGACGCCCCCCCAGTCGATTTGGAAGCTTTCCGCACGGCACTCAACCTTACCCCGTCCGCCGGAGCCGCCGAACAACTTGCCCGGCTCACCGCCGCCGGACCCTTTCCCGCCGGAGCCCATGCTTACCTGCGGTGGCTTCTCCAAATCCTGGCGGACGCGGACGGGTACATCCCGGCGGCTTCCCAAGAAACCTGCTTGCAACTTTATGGCGGGCTACCCTTCGCCGCTGCACTCGACCGCCAAGCCAACCTCTTCCGCGCGCCGCCCACCCCCGACCCCGCACCCGCACCCGCCTTCACCACCGCCATCCCCTCACCTTCCATCCCCCCCACCCCCACCGACCTGCCGAAGCACCCGCGGCCGCGGACGCGGCCGTGGCAATCGCCCTGCTTCCCCCCCACCCCTCCCCATGACCGATACTGAGATCGACGCACCTACCCAGGCCCCCAGACCTGCACCACCCACAGGCCTATCTTGTCTTGACGCTGTTGATCTGTGCGCCACGCTCCGCATCCGCACCCCCACCTTCCAATCAGTCCCCCGGCGGCTCCTGCCAACTTATAAACACGCCCTTCGCATGGCGCTTGACGCCATCAACTCCCCCACATCCAACCCTGTCGACACCGAACGCGGGTGGAAACTGTTCCTACTCGCTTCACGCCTCCTCCTGCACCGCCCCACCCACCAAACCCTTGCCACCCCTGAGGAACTTGACCGGCGGGCGGCCCTCTTCCGAACCGGCGAGTGGCTCCAACTCCTCCACGAGTCCTCACCCGCCCCACGCCGCACATACCCGACCCCCTCCCCCAACTCACCCACGGACAGCGCGCGAGCCCAACGGGCCATGACCCTGGTCCAACAAGGCGAGCTGTCTGCCGCCAGTGCCGCCCTCACCGCGTCCCCGCTGGCTCCCCTCACGCCAGCCGCCCTGGCCGAACTTCGCCACCCTGACCGCCGCCCCCAACAACCCCAAGTCCCCATCGACCCCTACTTGCGAATGGGCTCGCCCTCGGATCCCCTGCACCTTGACACTGCTCGCCTCCTCGCCAACTTGCGCACAGGCCGCCGCGGCGCTGCACCAAGCCCCTCCGGGATGACCACCGAACACTTGCGAGTGGTTCTAGACTCGGACGAAACCACCCTCAAACTTACCGCTGCAGCCACCCGCCTTGCCACAGCGGCCCTCCCACCCAACATCCTCCTCGCCCTCCGCCTCGGACGCATGGTCGCCCTCCAAAAACCCAATGGCCGGGTCCGCGGGCTCGTCATGGGAGATGTGTTCCGCCGCCTTGTCGCCCGAACGCTCGCACAACAGTTCAGCCCCCAGTTCCAAACCGCTACTGCCCCCCACCAGTATGCGCTTGCCACACGGGCTGGAGGCGAAGCACTTGCACGGTCCGTACGGGTTGCCACAGAGTTGCAACCAAACCTCACCGTCCTGTCCATCGATGGCGTCGGCGCGTATGACCATGTTGCGCGCCAGGCCATCCTTCAAGGCATCCACGGTGACCCGGGCCTCCGCCCCCTACTCCCATTTGTGAGGCAATTCTATGCGTCCCCTTCCGAGTACCTCTGGTATGATGCGGCTGGCACATGTCACCCCATCCACCAGCACGAAGGCGGCGAACAGGGGCACCCCCTCATGCCAGGCCTGTATGCGGTCGCAGTGGCGCCGGCCCTACAGGAAACCCACCGCGCACTCCTCCCCGGGGAAGCGCTCCTGGCATACCTGGACGATACTTACATCCTCTGCGCCCCTGAGCGCACGCGGGTCCTCTACGAACATCTGGAACAGGCACTCCGGCGCCACGCCAACGTCACGTTACACCAAGGCAAAACCCGCATGTGGAACGCTAGTGGTGCCTCCCCGCACTGCCTGGCCACCCGCACCCCCTGACGCGCCGCCGCTCTGGGTTGGCGGTCACGACACCCCGCTTGCAGAACAAGGCGTCACAGTGCTAGGTACCCCCATCGGAAGCCACGAGTACATCCTCGCCCATCTCCGTGCCACGCGCGCAAAACATGATGCACTCCTTACAGCCATCCCCACCCTCCCTTCCCTCCAAGCCAGTTTCCTGCTTCTGCTCTATTGTGCCAACCCCCGCCCAAACTACCTCTTACGCACCGTGCCACCAGAGCAAACCCTTGAATACGCAGCCGCCCATGACGCTGCGATGGCCCGGTGCCTCGCAACATTGCTGGACCGGCCAGATGGCCTCCCCGCCACCAACCATGCCCGCGCCCGCCTCAGCCTTGCCCATGGCGGCCTGGGCCTTCGGTCGGCCACCCACCATCGCCATGCGGCCTATTGGGCCAGCTGGGCTGACACCTTACCCGCGGTACACACACAATGGCCAGCAGTTGCCGATCAACTCGGCCAACTGCTAACAGGGGAGTCCCGAACTCGCCCCCCGAGCGTCCAAGCTGCAGCCGAACTCCAACGTGCCGGCTTTGCCCCCCCTCCCTGGGGCTTGCTCATCACCGGCAGCCCCCCGCCCCCAACCCCCCCGAACTCTTCACGCGGCGACCCGCTGCGTGGATGGCAACGTGCCTCCGGGGCCGCGATCGACCAAGAAGATTTTGCAGCGCTTTTTACCACCCTGCCCGACCCCGAGCGCGCACTTCTCCTGTCGCAAGCGGGCCCGCAAGCCGCCACCACTTTCACCACCATCCCCACTTGCCCCGAATTCCATTTCGACAACCCCCACTATCGCACCCTACTCCTCCGACGGCTCCGCCTGCCGTTGGGGTTTGCCCCCGCTCGCTGTCGCTGCGGCCGCCCCTTAGACGCGTTCGGCGACCACCGCGCCGCATGCGCAACTAGCGGGGCCTTGCGCACCCGAGCCGTGCCAATTGAAAGAACCTTGGCCCGCATCCTCCGCGAGGCCGGGGCTCGCGTGCACATGCACGTCCCCCTAGCCCACATGAACCTTGACCCGCCCCCCGCGGATGGACGCGCCATCGAAATCCTGGCACAAGGCCTCCCCCTTTGGCACGGCGCACAACTTGCGGTTGACGCAACCCTTGTTAGCCCCGTTGGCCGGGATGGCGCGGCACACCCCCATGCTGCCACCACCCCCGCAACCGCCATCACCCAGGCTACGCGGCGCAAACGCATCTCGGTCTACCCTGAGTTTGCATCCCAACGCCGCTGCCGTCTTGTCGTTGTGGGGCTGGAAATCGGCGGGCGCTGGGGCATTGAGGCCCAGTCCCTTGTCCACAGCCTCGCCGCGGCCAAGGCGCGAGCCACCCCCCCTGGCCTCCAAGCGGCCGCGGTTGGCGCTTACACACGCCGCTGGGCAGCTCTTTTGAGCTGCACAGCCCAGCGGGCCTTCAGCGCGAGCCTGCTGGAGCTACCCTTGGGCGCCACCGACCACACCGACGGCGACCCTCCCCCTTTTTTCGATCTCCTCGCCGAAGCGCGAGGAGACGACCCCCCCCACCCCAGCCGCCTCCCTCTAAGACAGGGGATCTGACCATGTGACCAATGGCGGTGAAAAAGTTGTCGCAGAAAAAAAAAAATTGGAACAGACTCATTATTGGAGGCTGTCACTTGGACACGCGATGGGAAAAGACCGAGTCTGAGGCAAAACAGCTCCTCCAGACCTTTGGCATTCAGGAGTCGGTCAATGAATTGATTGTCTATGGCCGCCGGGCCTGCGTGTCATGTCCTGCTTCACCCCATGCCGGAGCCTGACGCCAAACGTCGCGTCCTCACCTGGCAGGCACAACACAAAGACAAGCACCTCATTCCCAGCTCCAACACAGCAGCCTGGATGACCCCGCACAAAAGTGCCCACAAACGTTTGAAGAATCGAGCCACCAAGTATGCAGCCAGCCTTCTCCAATCCATCTTGCACCAGACCGACCCTGACCAGCTTGACATTGACTGGAACAAACAGATCATCTGGTACCGCGACATGCGGGTTGTTGCCTTCCACAAGTCGGATTTGCTGCCGGGCCCTGACCCCGCTAACCACGAAGTGACCTACACAGATCCTCGCAACCATGATGAACTCTCCCTTCCTTCTTGACCTCCGCAAGCTGGCCAAAGTCACAGGCGAAGAGATCCCTGCGCTCCAGCAGGCTCTCCGTGACCTGCAGTCTGAATGACTCCCCAGCCCTTGTGGCACAGTGCATGTCCCTGAAGCACAGCACCAGCAGCCTCCCTCTGATGTTCGGCCCTTGCAATTCCATGCAATTCCTACAGCTTGCCTCGTGGAATTTCCGGGGGAAGTCTCTCTTTCAAGTTGCTGACGTGCTGTCAGATCAGGCAATTCACTTTGATGTCATTGCGCTGCAGGAGGCCGGTGGTCTTTCCCAAGGAAAACTCACTGCTGATGGCTTCCTAGATGCCGACGACCCAGCCATACAACTGCATGACGAATTGAATGACTACTGGCTAGTGGCCACTGACCAACTCAGCAGCCACCTTGGCCAGGCAATCCTCATTGACAAAACCTTTGCCACCAACAACCCCTAGCCCACTACACTGATGCCATCCAAGAACTCCGTCAGCTCCTTACCGCTTCCAGGCCTCTCCCGGCTCTGATTCTGGCTGATTGGAATGCGACTCCACAACAACACCGCTTGGACGACCAAGCTCTTGAAATTGCCTGCCTCGCGGCTGAGGAAGAGCTTGACATCCTCCTCCCAGACCAGCCGACCTGGAAGCACAAAACCTACGACTTCATTGTCCTGACTCCAGCTTTCAGGCGCTGCATCATCCTACTTGCCCATTGGTACTCCTCAGATCGTGCCAGCTCTTGAACAACTCCTTCCCTCCGATCACAAGATGGTGACTTGGGAAACGGCGCTGCTCCCACCACTGGCCCACCAGCAGTGCACCTCTCGTCACCGTCGCCGGCCTGGACGATGGCAAGTTGACCCTGCTCGGCCCCATGCCGGCTTGGCCAAGGATGATCACAGCACCTGTGACTGGAAGCGACTTTGTCTCCTGGCTCGGCACTGTCAATACCGCCCTCACAGCCACAAGTTCAAGGACTCCCCAGAACTCAAACGACTCTGCCGACCCCGGAATGGAACTGCAGAAGCCGCCCAACGAGCCTCCATTTCACGCCACATCATTGCAACCCGACGTGCTGAACGGGCCGCTTGGCTTAACAACCTCTACACTGCGGCCTCTAGCGGCGTCTCCTCCGCCATAGCCTTCCTGAGGGCACAGCACAAGGCAACCAGCACGTGGAGCCACCTTCTTGCACACTCTGGCAGCCAGCCCGCAGCCATAAACAAAGTGAAGGATCACTTCCAACAAGTCTTTGCCAAAACGCCTCCCAACAGCAGAGCAGCCGATTGCACACCCCACTTGGCCACACTGCAGGCCCACATGGCCCACACTGAGCCTCAACCCATCCACGCTGATGAGGTGCACCAGGCACTTATCAAACTCAAACCTGGGAAGACGTCAGGCGCCAGCGGAATGTCGAACGAATTCCTGGTTGCACTAAGCCACACTGATGCAGGACTAACCCTCCTCCTACGCCTGCTCAACACCATGTTCCTACAAGGCTTGCTTCACCCTGACCTCCTCCTCGGCATTGCTTGCTTGATCCCAAAGGCCGCTAACATCACAATGGCATCCCAAATTCGACCTATCCTGCTGCTGGAAGTTGTGCAAAAAGTGTATGCTAGCATTCTCATGCGCCGTCTTGCCCACCACTGGCCACCTATCACCGCTCAACTCGGTGCAGTCCCTGGCGGTCAGCCCATCGAAGCTCTTTTTGCTGCCCAGCACATGATAGCCCTGGCCACCGTCACAGACAAACAACCACTTTTCCTCAAACTGGACATCAAGGGTGCCTTTGACAACCTTCGTCATGCAAGCGTGGCCGCCTTCCTAGCTACGCTGCCAGCGCCCGCCTGCTACGAGTCCATGCGCTTGCTGAGCTTGCTTCTTGAGCAAAAGATTCACCTCTCCTTTCTCCATGACCATTGGGAGCTTCACACCTCCAATGGCACGCCGCAAGGGGGTAGTCATTCTGCCGGGCTCTTTGCCCGAACATTGGATCATGCCATTGGCCAGTTGCTGCGTACCTGGGAAGCTGCAGGTCACAGTCCGGTTTTCCCGCCCCTATGGCTGCTTCTGTTTGTTGATGACATCCTCCTCTGTTTTCGTGGTTGGGTGCAAGCCATCCGACTGTTGCCTTCATTTCTGGAATGCCTGTCCACACTGGGCCTGGAGGTCAACTATGCCAAAAGCTGCCTGGTGCTCAGTCCCGCCTTGCGTTCATCACCTCCGCCATCTCCCAGCCTTGAGCTCCTGAAGCGGTTTCCATGGGTAGAGAACACACAATACCTTCGCAAACCTTTTGGTTATCGCTTGGAAGTTGATGCAGTACACCATCAATCCCTTCAACTCATCTACGGCGCTTGTGGCAAGCTCAAGCCCGTCCTGAAGAGATGCCACTGGACAAACCCCCTATCAACCAGCCGGCTGCTTGATCAATACGTTGGTTCTGCCTTCCTCTGGCTCTCTCCAGCATTGCACCCATATCAACAGTTTCGGCACAAGCTGCGGGTTGTCCAAACCACCTTGCTAATCGAGGCACTCAACCTGTACATCCCGGCGGTGAGTGACAACACAGCACGCCAGCTGTTGCGCTTTCGACGACACATCGTGAAGCGTTGGATTCTGCACATGACGCCTTCGGGCAGCTGGGACCAACAGTATACCTTTGCCGGTACTGGTCCTTCCTTGGTCACATATGCCGACAGGACTATTGCAGTCACCGCCCCGCCAAGATCATGCTGCACCACGTCATTGGCCAACATGCTCAAAAACTCAATCGACCGGGTCCCTGGCATACACCCCACAGTCTTGTCTCCAAATTTTGGCGGGAAACTGGACTTTAGATGGTGACTACATTCACATCGCTTCAGACCGTGAGGCATGGAAATCCCTTACTCCATGCTTCTTGAACTGGCAAGATGTGCCGCTGCTCCGGTACAATGTGGAGTTTTTGGATGCACAACCCTGGGACCATCCCAAGCACCTCCTACGCACGCAGATTGCCTGGTTGCAAGTTGTTTTCATTCACGTCTCTCCAGGGCTCCTGACAGCTGTCTGGTTGGACCAAGCTGCTGGTTTTTGTGTTTGGACATCAGCAGGCACATCGCTCGACTTGGGCTCTGTTCTTTGCGGTGGCATGGATGACTTGTGCTCCCATCTCTGTATGCTGGGTCGGCCTTTTGTTCTCCAAGTTGTGGTGCCCCATACAAGCTGCTGGAGAAGTGTCACTGCAAACAGGGACAGTCTGAGTGAAACTTTGGTGAGAAGTCGGTATGCTTCTTGGTACCAATTTTTCCCATTGAATGCATCTGAGTGTAAGCACAGTAGTTTACGACAGTGTTTCACTCATTTTGTACAACCTAATCTTGCTCTTTAGACTTAACTTTGTCATTTCATGTCCTGCTCAACTGGCAACCCTTGCCTGCGCGAAGATGCGGGCAGTGTGGTGGGGCAAATCCTCTGAGAAGCCCTGGCAAAAAAAATATATATTATTTCAGATTATTTTCTGGTTGTAAACCGTTGTAAAATGTTCAAGGCCACGGATCAAGAAAGATGCAGCATCTGATTCTCCTCGGCTTGCCCACGGTCTCAAATTTGGTCCCTTCAGTGCTTGGCAACCTGGCTAGCTCTCAGCATCGCTGATCTGTTTCCACAAGGTTGTTCGGTTTTCGGCAAAAGGACAAGTCATGTCATATCATAACATGGGTATGACATAGTTTAACATATTATATCCATACACATACGATCACATGTGGATACATGTTATTTTCGGGCATCGTTGTTAGAGGCGCCTGATGGCAAAATTACATATATATAATTGATGAAGGCAGTTGAAGACTTACAGATAATCGTCAATCCATCCATTGGGCTAAGCTCTGTAGACTTGCTGATGGAATGTCGCAAGTTGCATTTTCAAAATTGGACTTTCCGGGCGACTTCGAGGTATGATGGTCACTGTCCAGAATGGTTCCTTCCATCATGTCGAGCGAGTGCTGCTTGCAGCAGCAGGATTGTACGGCTTTGCAGCCGCTTTGATGCCAAGATGAGGCAGTAGATTAGGGCGCTCTTGGCGCGTCATTTGCATGCCTCCGAATAAGCACCAGGAATCGAATAGACGCCCTGGTTCAAAGTCAGTGATTCAAAGAAGTCGCGCAGGAAATCTGAAGGCCTTCCTGTATATACAGATGCGCAAGATACAGGCTTCCAAGGCCAAGTCAATTAAATGGCATGCTACACTGCTAGGAAACCGCATACCTCACAATTACGAAGTAAATCTTAACAGTACGTTCAACGCTTGCGGAAACCTGGACATGTTTGTCATTCAAAGTGGTCTAACAGACCTCTGGCAGGAATGTGCATTCTGACTAGTTCCGTGTTTCACCACTGAGGATCGGGTAACTGTTTCTGGATCCCTTGGTTTTGAAGCAAGCTTGTATGCAAGAGCAAGAAGCTACCAGTGTTGTAGGTGAATGGATTCTCTTTTGGCCTCAGTTTTCGCATATGTATGTGACACGGTTGAAAGTACTGCCAATAGCCTCTAAGAGAGCTCTTGCATTTGCAAAGCTTGGGGTTCGGATCGAACCCTCCTGATATTATTCTGTTTGTGATCGTGAAAGGCTGGGTGGAACTTGATCCAAGCCGAAATTTTGGTGCTTGCGCTCAAGACCACCATACGCAATATACGCCGCAGATATGCGTATCAAGTCATAGCAATACCTAATTGATCCTAATTGTCCAAATCATTTTGCGAGAAAGGAGGGCTGCAGAGCGCAAGAATTGTTGGGGACAAGAATGGTGACGGGGAAAAGTGAAAGTTGAGTTGACAATTTTGAGGAGCAACACCAAAGATAGTCCAAATGCCAGCGGATTGAAATGCAATATTGTTTTTTAATTTTCAGGTTTTGTCGGTGTCTGCTTCAGAAGTGCTCGAGTCTTGAAGGTACATATAATAAGAGACTTCTCAAATGCACAATGCATACAACAGCAAAAGGCAAAGTACTGAAATTGGCCAAGTATTCTTTGTCGTTATATCAGCTGTCTGCAGGGTTGGACTTAAGAGTGATCATGGAAGCTGGTGGAACTAGTTGGACGACCATTCAACGACCCCACTGACTGAGCAGCCGCCAGTTGAATCCTTGGAAGATAGCGATTATATAATATTGTATATAGATGCGCGTGTTTGAGTGGGCATTTATACTTAGCATATGTGTTTGCAATTGTTTGCACATATGTGTATTTATGTCTTTATGAAGATTGTCCTGTGTGCACGGGGCTTTACAGACTACGTTTGATGGTTATTTCTACAGCCTGTAAGCTGAGAACCACCCAGTAGAATCTCTCCATGGAGATGCCAAGGAAGTGGCGGGACGGAGGCCTATGAAAGTTCCTTTCTCTTCAGTGGTCGCACAAGGCTACAGTGTTGTGAAGGAGACATTTGCAGGGATTTGAGATGGAACCGAAGGCATCAACATTTCCAAGAGGAAAATCATGTTCCAGGGGCCAATCATTTTGATCCGAAGTCGAAGTCAGATGTGCTACTGAGCGACCGCCAAATTCAAGCAACTGATGTGCATAAACACACGGAGACACACACATATATAATCACACATATATATATATTAGAGAGAGAGAGAATTCAACTGATGTTGGGAATAGAATGTAGTCACGCAAAAACCAGTAGGCACTACTGCAGTATATAAATTCTTTGCCAGGACCTACTGCTGGCAAAGGGATGTAAGGGGGGTGTTTTGTTGGCAGCAACCGCTAGGGAAAAACATGGAAAGCCTGTGCTGATCCTCAATTTCCATGGCACAGCAGCCCCAACCTTGCACACAGTTTTTTGCAACAAGGAGCTTGGGCGTGGGGGACAGGGCACCATGTATCTTTGCACCAAGCGATCCTGGTTTCGCACGTTCCTTTGAGAGCAGTCGGGCTGGTCTTCAAGGCTTCTGGATATAATAGCAGTATATAGCAGTACATTACGGTGCTAATCAGCTGAATTCGACGTAAGTTGCCTGTTCGATTTCAAAGTGGTTCGGACATCCAATAAGACAAAAATACATAAGAATACATATTGCTCCTAGCAAAACTGTTCAATGATTAACCTTTTGATGCTTGCATCTTTTCGGGTCCTTTTGGTCACCTTGTACTTCTTTGTTTTGCTTTGGTTGTAAATTGTTGTTTCGGTGGTTGATATTGGTTACGGTCGTTTACGGTCATACGTTGTCCTTCGCTTGATCTTATGGCCATAAACTGTACTCATATCGAAAGCAAGAAGGCATACTATAGTATAGATAGGCCTCTTGCGATACCTCAGGGTGCTTGACCGGAATCCCTATCTGCACATTGTTCGCTGCTATCACAAAAAGCTCAGAAAAGATCGAGCAGTAGCCAGACACTGTCAGCAAACGGTGCTGGCTTCCACCCAGGTCCAAATATTGCATTAAATTTTATGAGTTGCTTGGTTTCAACCTGTGAGAATCTGTGCCTGCAAGGCCGTGTGCTGCTAAAATGCGTGTGAAGAAGTTCGCACACGTCGAAACTGACTGAGGAAAGCTGATGCAAACGCAGGCGGCTTGGATGCCGCTTGCCATCATGAGCTACCAATCAGCATGCAACTTCTATCTCTCATTAGTAGGTGCAGAATGTTGGGTAGACCTGGGGAGTTTTGCCCGAACCTCATCGCCTTCTCGATGAGCTCAATCATGTTCATCAATGAGTTTGTTTGGATGTACAGAAGTGTGTTATTTAAAAATGTGCGGTTCGCTGTGGTGGCAGGCACATGTTGTTGTTTTTTTACATCGTTGTCCTTTGAAATACTAATAGTCTGGTTTTGTGTGTAATTAAGATGTTTATCAAATTCTTCATCAACTCAATGCTCATGTTTTTTCAAAATACATGTTGAAAACCAACCCTTACAGGGGATCGCGTGTTTTTTCGTTCTCAATTGCGTCCCTTTTCAGTGAGCCAAGTTGTATCTACATATATATATATGTATATATATATATGTGTGTGTGTACCTTGCTGGGGTGACTTTTGTGTTTGACAAAGGCCATGTAGCATCATCTGAGACAGCAAGTACAAGAGAAAAGTTGTTAGCGTAGCATCATCTGAGACAGCAAGTAATTACAAGAGAAAAGTTGTTGGCGTAGCATCATCTGGGACAGCAAGTACAAGAGAAGAGTCGTTAGCATAGCATCATCTGAGTCTGCAAGTGCAAGAGGAGAGTCGTAGCGTAGCATCATGTCTGGGTGCTTCTGCAACAGAACGTTATTGCACCCCCCACCCCACCCCACCCCACCCCACCCGTACAGTACAAATAAAATGAAGTTTGGGCAACCTCCCCCGTTTACCCATCATGTTGTACCGTATTTTGCTGGTTGCCAGTCATTTCTGCAAGTTCAGAAAGGTGAAGGGACATGGAGGGACCAGAAATGCTGAGCTAAGGAACTCATGGATGAATATGTTTTGATGTCCAGCTTGGACAATCCCCACATCGCCAAGACCTATGAGGCCGCACCATCACAGTAGGCAAAGAAACTGCACAGATGTTTTGTGGTGCTGAGGTGTGCGATGGTCAGTACATGTAGAAAGTCAGAATAAAAAGCTTCAGTTCATGCTCAACACATCTCAATATGCCAAATTGACTCTGACTCTAGCGTGTTGACACTGGTCCCAATTCGATATGGTTTTTTCATGCTTTTTCGAGATTTTTCTTTCCTCAAGGGTGATTATTCATGTTCAGTCTTTTTAAGTCTTGAGCAAGGTGTTTCAAGACAAATCCTTTTACTACCTGGTCTGCCTGGCTTGGCTTATGTGCAGTATTGTGCAGTCATATTTTAGTGAGGTAATAATTGGAGCAGCCGTAGCTGCATCAGAAGTGACTGCTGGGGCCAGGTGAATGAGCCATATTTTGGCGGTGACCTCACCAAATTGGGCAAGAACGCCTACCAGACCGATGTCAGGTTGGACTTTGGGGATCTTTGGTTTTTGCTGTTAAGTCTTGTTAAGTTGTGCCACAAATACTTGATGTGGATGCGTATGCGGATGCGTGTTTTCTGGCTGTGTGAGTGAAGGGTGCAGGTTGGAATATCTTTAATCAAATTTAATCAGATTTAATAAGGTTAGAAAATAATAGTATTATTTCGCTGCTTTGCTTACCAGGATGAGCGAAAATTGGTGGCGCGTCATTTTCCGCCAGTGCATGGAAGGGCATCAGAGCTCAGCTGGTGTCCTGCAGGTCGATTCCTGTTGGTGGTCAAACTACATAAGGTTTCAGATCAATTCAGATCAGGATACTGAAAATAAAAGCTTTTCTTTTCTGTCATAATTTTGTCAAACACATTGATCCGTGTGGATGTCCACCCTGAAGTTCCCAGGATGCTTTAGGACAAAAAGATGCAGATTTGTCAAATGGCGTATAGAACTACTATAAGATCTTCTGCAAAAATGAGACAGAAACAGAAGCACATTCAGATTGCGCGGCCGTCCTGTTCTGACCTCCGGGATCCTGAGGCTTTGCTATTTGCATGGTCAAGGTGTGATGCACTGTGACATAAAGGACTGTTCGTGTCACCGTTTCAAGCTACATTTGGTTGTGGTTGTCGTTGTGGTTGCCGCTGCCGCTGCCGCTGTTGGTGTTGTTGTTGTTGTTGTTGTTGTTGTTGTTGTGGTTGTTGGTTGTTGGTTGTTGGTTGTTGGTTGTTGGTTGTTGGTTGTTGGTTGTTGTTTGTTGTTTGTTGTTCGTTGTTCGTTGTTCGTTGTTCGTTGTTCGTTGTTGTTTGTTGTTGGTTGTTGGTTGTTGGTTGTTGTTGTTGTTGTTGTTGTTGGTGGTGGTGGTGGTGGTGTCTTCGTGCATCACTTGCTCATCACTTGTACATCAGAGCTGAGGAGTCCGGTCACAAAGACACCCAAAGACAAATTTGTTGCCAGTTCAGTCTGCCAGAGGGTGTCCCAATTTTGCGTTGCTCGGTAAAAGTATCCTGACAAAGACCAATCGGCGAATGCGTGGATTGTGGCAGGAGCCAAATATTATGATCTCTGGAACTGACTACGCGGTCATCCTGCTCGGCTTGGGATGGTGCAGTAGCACAAGCCAGCGGTTTCGATTTGTTCCGATGATTCGCAGCCAGGTGCCCCATGTCGTTCTCATCGACTTTGGCCTCTCTACTGCGTTTCTTGGTCGACCAAGATGGGAATGGGCTGCCACTGGAATGTTTGCTTTGCTAACAATGCCGGAGTATTTTGAGGGTGATCTTGACTGCGTTAATTGCTTATTTGCTGTCCAACCTGCTTCAGAGCAAGGTAGACAGTATCGAGGTAGACAGAGATGTATTGAGTGAGACACAGGCACAAAGCCGGTCGAGTGTGCCCAAAGCCTCCGAATGAGTTGCCTTCAATTGATTCGCTGCAGGTTCACCAGCAATCGGGAAGGAGTTTGTGGCACTCCTGGCTACATCCCGCCAGAAACGTGGAGGCTGGCGACATGAATCATATTCAGAGCAGATCAGGACAGTATGTCATCAGCCAGTCCCAAAGTGTTTGTGTAATTTTCAGGTCAAGAGTCAAGTCAGTTGCGAACTGAATTCCAAGTGCAAAGATCTCACATCTCAGTGTGAATCCAAAGCCCAGGGAAAAAAATCCTTCCCAGGGTTCCAAGATGTTCCAAGGCTCCAATCCAAAGTTGCCCTTGTTTCAATTTCATTTCAATTTCCACGTGTCTCAGTACAAGTCGCCCACAGGACTGGTGTTTGGTATCCTCGGGGTGATGTCTTCAGTATGGGAGTGGTGCAATTCGGCTGCACTGAGGTGGATATGTGGAAAAATGGGAGCATTAGCAAGAACCAGTTCGTTGAATGCTGATAGCATGTGGCTTGTGTAGTGAGTCTAGGCTTTTTTGCGCTTGGTTTCTATGGAGCCCAGATTTGATGTGCATTTCAGAGATTCAAGCCTCTCACCTCCCACTTCTCTGAATGCTGCGAGAATCCGATGTTAAGAATTGAATCCAAATTGATGACTTCATTGGGGTTATTAATTGACTGGTACTTGTACAAACCTCATACTTTTTTTATCCAAGATGAATGCTTCCCACTATTTCAATCCGAGGTTCTTTCAATGTGTCAGTGGAATGGTGTCCATCTCAGTTTCCATTTGCAACACATTTCCGCAGGCAATTAAACTAAACCTGGCATCTTAAATTCAAAACATTTCAATGTTTCTACGTAGGGAAATCTAGGAAAATCATCAACCATATCATATATATATATCATGTCAAGCTACGTCTCTATTTCATCTATGGGTAGGGAAAGAGAGAGAGAGAGAGAGACCAAAAGTCCTTCAAAAGTTTTGGGAGTTTCAGTGCCATCTTCGAGAACATTTGAGAACCAGAGAGTCGTTGGACCCGGGGCGACTAAAACGATGCGCTGCCTCAGCATTTTGCTCGGGCCCGCTGGGCATCACGGAGGTGCCATGATTCATGATTCATGAAATTATCGAGATCGTTGGTCAACGGATGAAGTCTTATGGACTTCCCACCGTTTTCTCGGATTCCATTCAGACATATCTATCCGACATTATCTGACTATCTGACGTGTTGTTTTAATTACTCTTTTTTTGGGGGGATGAGTTTATGAGTTTGAATCACCTACCAGACATGAACACACACATCCTCATCATAACCTGCCTTGATGATGTTTGCAAACTCAGACAGCCCAAATTGCGGGCAAGTGCTGCAAAACAAAAAACAACGAACAACATGTTTAAAAACCATCCAGAGACAGTGGACAGTCTAACAAATATAAATCCATATTAACCAATCTAAAAGAGCATTGGAAGAATTGGAGGGGCACGTGCGGAGCCTCAACTTTTTCATTGACAAAACGCAGCTTGTGCTGCTCCATGTCTTGGTTGGCATGGTCACCACCCTATCGTGGTGCCTGAGCCGCAGACTAATATTGTCATCGGAAGAAGTCAATGGACATCAATGGACATAGATGAGAGGTATGAGAGGCTGGTGGTTTTGAAATGTTTTGAATCCGTTGAGTTTATGCCCTATTTGACATGATCCCAAGGGATTAACATTGATCAGGGTGGGAAACTCCAAATTGCTCGGACGCGAGCACTTCTGTATGGGGAGAGAGAGAGAGAGAGAGATACCGAGCACTGCTGTATGTCAGGAGCCGCCGGAAAGCGTGGTAGAAGATTGCTGCAGCTAGCTTCAATAGCAGGCCATACAAAGCTGAATGCGGAACATGATGCCGGGGCGAATGTAGTAGGACACCTGCATCGTTGAAGAAAGCCAAATTGGCTATATATCCCAATCTTGGTTGATATGCATCCTGATCGTCATTGCTTAGATCATATATCATCATATATCAATGAATGACCATGCATTCGTTCAATATAAGTTGTCAGTGGTTAGATACTGTACCTATCTTAAGATTCTTAAGTTGGTTGTATAAAAGCCCCCATCATTGTCGGGTATGACCCCATTTTCAATTCAAGCCTGACCTTCCACAGAAGCCAAATTTGACCTGACTTCGGGAAAACACACAGTTGGACACTGCAGGCGTTGCTATTTGCCTGGTGGATGTGGTGGCTTTTGCTCGGCCAAGGGGCTTTGATATAGCTCCACCTCCAGAGAGTGTGAAGGACAGCCGCCATCCCCGCATCAACGACTTGTTCGGCTGGTGGTTTCAGAATATGGAGGATTTGAAAACTACCAAACATGGGATGTTATAAATTCTATAATGAATGTGCATGAATGTGCTGTAACCAAGAACAAAGACTCTGTTCAACTGGTGGTTTCAGGTATTTCTTACAGTATGTTTCATTTCCCCAGGCACAAATTAAAAACATGGTGATTAAATTGACTGTCTTAGTGCGCATCGAAATCACCAACCAGTGGTGAAATAGTTTGTCATCGCCTCTTGTGCGGTCACGTGTTCCGGGACCAGTAATTAGTTCATACTTGGATGTGTCAGTGCATGGAACTTGTTATCAGCATCGTGGTTTGGGATTCATTTTCAGTTGCCACTCGCCCACATTCAGAAAACGCTTGGTGAACAAGCGAAGGAGACAACCATCATAGAAGTGCCAACCGAAAGCAGTGCCCGACTCAGAGTTGAGATGCTGATGGATGCTGTTTTTTTTCTCAGACCGTCAAAGAAGTGTTTCCGTTTGTGATATTTGTGACGTGTGTGTTTGTGTGTAAATGTCTATGTTGCGGAATGTGAACTGTGTGTGTGGGTGTGTGGGACCACGGCTTTTGCAGGGCAAGTGTGTCATGGTGCATCGTGTTGTATTGTTCTCCTTTGCAAGTTGGAGATGGTAAAAGTGTTTGGTCCCATGGACGGCCTGCATCCGCAACATGCAAGGCATAAAATGCTACAGTGTAGTGAGGGCCAGTTCCGCACAAAACTAGGCCATTCATAAATAATTAAATATATAATAATATATATATATATACAAGCGCTTTACCAACCATAAATCTCCATGTGCAACCTTCATACATGTTTGCATGTCATTTTGCAGTCTTAGGATATTTGGGCTTTGTGTACCTGTATGGGGCAGCCAGGTAGCGGGTCTGACATTGGGCCCTGAAATGAGGCCCAGCGCCTAGAGAGAAGGCGCCAGGTGTAGATGTGGTCATCGCTGGAGGATCGCTCTCAGGGCTTTGGTTGGCAATGCTATTGAGTGCAGGTCACTCGGCATGAAATTCGGTAATTAGGCATGAAAATCATGAAATGAATTGGGCTCGGCCGTTCGTGTGACTTCATGGTCACCTCAGATTTTCGCGACCTGACTTTCTGCATTTTTTCTGCCTATTTCGAACCTTGTTGGGCCCCGCCTGGTTTTCCCAACTCCTTTGCATGTTGGTATGCTACTGCCTGGGGATCATGCTTTTTGTCATGTTAGAGTGCACGTTCTGAAGAGTCAGGTGTTGCCCTTGGCAAAGTGGCGCGAGTGCGGCTCTACCAGGCAAGTGCGGTCGGAAGATCACAGCTGCAGATGATGAGCCTACCGCATTCTTGCCACATTCATCTCATAGAAGAAATGACTCAAACCGGTGTCAGTTTGTAAGCGCTTCGGGTTTTCTTTGACTCACTAGCAGCATCTCACCTTGCAGGGCCGTTCAAGGCAGAACCCGCAGGACTGAGAGGTGTAACTTGAAAGAGAGACCAGTAGATGGAGCCCTATGTTTTCATATCCTTGTAGGGAAAGACACTGCTTTCCTGCAAAAAGTTGATAAATATCCCTTATATCCATTGATCCCCTGGCTTGAAGCCGCACAGGACATCGAGGTGGCTTCCATCGAAGGAGTGGTGTGGCGAGAGATCCCGCAACACTTCCAGAGAGCGTTGACTTCTGCAGGCTTCTTGCTCAGTCATGGATATGGATGGTCCTCCAATGTTCCAGGAATATGAGCATTACACGAGCCCTTGTTAACACGGACATGGGCCATAGGTTTGAATTGCAATGAAAGGCACCGATTCAGTGTAGATGGCCATGGGCGGGAATTTTCTGACAAGTTCACCTAGTTCTAATGCAAGTCCTGTGCCAGGTTGTTTCGAGCAATGGCCGAAGCAACCCAGAGAGTCTGGGCGCTCCTTAGATGAAGAGGACTTTCCACGGAATATACCAGTTCATCGACTCAAGGCCGCATTGCAGAAGGCCCTTGCAGAGGCACCATGATCATCCATGAGTGCTGTTGTGGGTAAAGGTCCACTAGATTCACTGGAGATCACTAGGCTTGACCTCCAGTGGCCCAGGTGGGCCATGTGGCGTCAGGCATCATAAACGGAATAAAAGAGTTCACAGAAAAATGGCATCATTTGAGAATCTGATGATTAGTGGAAAGACTTCAAGAGGAGCTGTGGATACTGATGTGGGACCTGGTTGTATATCCATACAAGATAAGCCAGCATAAGCCAGCGCAGAGCTTGTTTAAACATAATAAGCCAAAGAAGATATGGAAGTGTATATAAGATTATATAAGTGTCTCAGCCCCTTTTGTTTGATTACATAGATGAGGGGAATTTGAGCCACTGCTACCTATTTCTGCATTTCCCAGGCAGACGGAGTGGAGCTACTCAAAGAGGACTACAGCCTCACTGAGCATCGGCAGTTGGTGCAGGAGGATAGCTTTCAATGCATTGTCTTTGCAGATGGCGGCCCGTCACTGAAGGTGCCCTTGACAAATGAACATGGGACCTATTGGACCCATGGGACCCGTGAAGGTGCCATTTCAATCAACACCCAATTTTGCTGTATTACGTTATCGATACATATCAACAGTTCAATAATTACTCTATGACAGTGACAGTGGCAGGGTTTCCCAGCTCATTTGGGAAGGCGTGCGAAGAGATCTTCGACAACCTTTTCTCCCAGCCGGTTCCCCGCGAAGCCAATGGTGGCTTTCTGGTTGCACCCGAGAGGACTCTTGGAGCAGCTTGGCTCATTATGTCTCCGCACTCACAATGCTAGGCAAGCGATTCTAAATGCTATGTGTTCATGATGTGTTCTACATAATATCTGAAACAGTCTGAAACCATATGCCCCCCATCAGTTTTCCAAAATGAAGTCATTGGCCCCACTTGTTGGACCCTTCCTCACCATGCGGCATATAGCAGCATCTAAGGTCTCCTTTCAAGTGGAGGAGCCATTGCTGCCATTGGGAACGGTTATGGCGCTGAACTGGGCTCAGCGGAGGTACTTCGTCAATTTGACGGGCATCTTGACAGGAGTTGTTTGGTGCTGTAGTGGCATACTTTGGCAGGCATTTCCTGTCATTTCCTGCATCAAGGGCAGTCAAGGGAATCAAGGGGGTTTGCTTCACAAGACCACACTTGCTTTGCTTTCATGATATAATACAGTAGCTCCCTAGCCGCGATGGCCTTTTGCTGAGATACATGTTTTCAATTGCTTGGCATTTTCGAAGTTCAATCTCTTTTGTAATTCTTTTTGCTTCACGTGATTGTTGAGTCTGAGTTGAGATCGCCTTCTGATTGCTTGGGCGTTTGGGCTGTTCATTTGTTGAGAGAAATCCAGGCGAGAGAGAAGGCGTTTTGCAGATCCGCCTCACGCCAGAAGAGGGACTAGCATTGGCAGCACTTGTGCGGACAGATGATCCCTTGAATCGTGGCAGCTTCATCGAGTTTGTGAGCCATTTCTATCAATGTGCCGGGTTCGTTCGGATTCAGACAGCATCCGACCAAAGCTGAGGAGTTTTCCTTTTGTTGTCCTGCAAACCGAGGAAGAAGCTTCGGGAGAGCAATGAAGAAGATCTAGCACTGCTTTGGCAAGACATCAGTAGCTTATCTATGTGGGGAGAGAGAGAGAGAGAGGGGGGGAGGGGGGAACTACCGCGCGACCACCCTTCGCATAGGCACATAGGTTTGTTTCCATTGTGGCAAGGTCCATTGACTCTGACAATACAGATCTGAAGATTTTCGCGAATCACTATCACTATTGGTCAAATCAATGGATCCGCTTTGGCATTTTTTTTTCGTTTCATTAGTTCGGCACACTGGATCAATCCTGGATCAACTGAGGAGATGCATGTCGCTTATTCGAGCTCCCGGAGGGTTGCCTTTCGCATCTGGCGATCTTCAGCGCAGATGCTGCCGATCGCCCCAGCTACACACGACTGCCGGACGTGGAAGTGGGTGAAGGGCCACTGGTGGCCTTCCTGCTGGGTGGTGCCGCAACTTGGCTTGGCAAAAAGGTTGATCGGTTGATCCATTTAAGCTCCCTTCTCCCCCAAATCATCCTATTCGACGCCCCCACATTCCTTTAAGGTATTGGCCACGTGGGGGGAAATTCATACGAGAGAAGAGATTGGATTGATGGTCATCTAATCTAATTACAGCGTCGACCCTGGATTAAGAAACCCCATTAGAGGTTGCGGAAAAATGTGCGTTTTATTATTGCAATTGCAATTGTACGAATTGTACCTCCCCAAAAGAATTTCTCTGAAAGAGACTAGCCAGGATCCTGGGCGAACCTACGGGACTCAGAGACCACAAGCATAAGTGGTAGAGAGCTAGCCTTGGAACCGGTTAAATTTTTTGGTATTTCTTCAACTTTTGGCCCGCTCCTTCACAGCCAAACCTCATGGAGATCCTGTTCTCCAAAATGTCAGGCACCCTCGGCGGTGACCGAGTTTCAATGTTGAACTGTGCAATTAGTGGAGGGTGAAATTTGTGTCCATGTTTAAATGTTTGCTGGCAGAGGATCGACATCAACGAGGGCCTTTGCTCAACTCTCAACCCACAGTACCGGTAGTATTCCCAGTGAGGAAGCTCGATTCTATCCCATCTCGCTTGCTGACGACCAAACAGTTTTGACGCGCATACCAACTTGCCGGCCGTTTTCACGTGTTCATTTCTTAGCCCCAGTAGAGGTTGGATAGATAGCTCAATCACCGGCAGCAGATTCGATAGATACATAAAGCATCATAAAGCCAATATAAATCCTCACTTCCTTCCGGACTTCCAGGCTCGGAGCGGCTCCGCCAGCTTTGGACCTGGCTACGGAGCCTCAGGCGATTTGGAGGCGGCGACATCTGCAGCCAAGGCGCTTCTGTCAGACCGTGCCACTGCGATGAAGGAGCGCCTGGACACTTGGCCCCCGCTTGGCCCCGCTTGGCCCCACTTGGCCCCGCTTGGCCCTGGCCCGGTGACTGTGCCAGTCCCGGTACCCCTGGTACAGAATGGTGTGTTTTATGGAGAAATGAAGAACCAGGTTTGTTGAATCTGGTGGTGAGATAAATCCTGTTCCCCCCTCTACATGGGATCATCAAGCCAGGGCTTATTGTTTGGTCATAACTTTTACTCGGGCAAAAGGATAATGTGGGTGTTGATTACGTTTACGTTTGCCTAGAACCAAAACCAAAATCTCATTCATATCTCATTCATTCAAGACACAGGTCATTTTGGTTTCGCGTAGATATCTACGCAGCAATATGCTATGATACGTATTGATATGCATGCATAAGAAAAAAAATGCAGAGAAGAAAAGGTGGGGGGTTGTCCCCCATGCTCAGTTTCTGGTGCAGCATGCGACTGTTCATTTTTCCAAGTAAGTATAGGAGGATGTGCTGTGTGTGCGTGTGTGCTGCTGTGATTACTGGGCCGAACCCAGGTTTGCTAGGATTCAACCAGTGAATTTTGAAGATTTTCAGAGACTCATATGTCAACCCATCACACATTGATCTTTCTCTGTGTTACTTCCCAGCGGTTCTTTGTCCCCCTATGTCCCCCTTTTGTCTCCATGTTTGATAAAGTCTGCAGGCTCAAATGTTTACTCTACACTACACCTACATGCATTTTTTTCAATTCCCGATGCTCCCAATGTTTCTTGGTTGAATCTTCATTCCTGCTGGCTAAGTTCCCATGATTTCGAATTCGAAATTCATGTTGATTGATTTTAAACCATTTTAAACCAACATCTTGGCAAAGGTCCCAGGAAAATCCTATTTTGTGAAATTGAATATCTTGAATATCACCTTCAGATGGTTATTGAAGATGGTTTGCCCCATAGTTAGCTGATGTTCATACTTGACAAGTTGCTACTCCTGATGGCCTCGAGGATTTGGATGCAGTGACTCGGAACAACATGGACCTGCGGCTTTTGCGGATGGAAGATGTTGGAAGCGCAAGAGCGCTGAGGGTGTGGGGAAAATACATGAAAATACCTGTGGAGTATAAATGAATATGTACCCATGTTTGGAGGCTTACTGGGTTACTGTAAATCCATGTAAATCCCAATTTCCACGGACTATGTATTTTATACAATATATATATATATGTAGATACAATCATATATCCAACCATACTGTACACATTATCATTTTGTTTATGGATGTTTCATCTTTTTTTCTTGGCGCCAAACTTATGAGCAAAGGAAGGCCAGATACATAAATCCCTTTGGCCACAGCTCTGCCAGGACATTATTGCTATTGCTGTTGAGAATCTCAAGAATTGTGAAACCGGGATTCTGCATATGAGACAAGCTAAAGGTGACGAACCCCTGAAAGTGTTTGTCATAGTTTCAGGATTTTCTAGGTATAGATCTAGGGGTCATGAGCTAGAAATGGTATAGTAAATACATGTGCTCATTTTCAACCAGACCTGATTGGTGGATACTTCATGCGGGCACAAGCAGCTGAGACCATCCTAACATCAGACCATCCTAACATCTGTTCGGCATCAACAGTTTCACACTTATTGACTTACTATGACTTATTGTCATTGTTTGAAATTCCCTCACTTGTTTGAAATTGTGTCGAAAATACGCTCTTATGGAACCTTAGCCATTTCAGCCAGAACATGGCTGGTACTTTCTCGCAGCAAAAAGTTTCAAAAAAGGAACGAGTAGTTTGCCCAGCTCTTGATTGCTTGGAAGCTGTGCATCCTCAGCAATTCATACTATATATGCTAAAGTTCAAATCCATCTACTTCTAGATGCAAGTGCCAAGCTCCAGCTACTTGCAGCCCCTTCATACCGAGAGCACAGGTCGCAGGTCACGAGCTTGTCATGAAAGGTCTTTGTGCACGGGAACGGCAGGCCACGCTGTTGTGATCCGGGCCCGTGAGCACGCTGTATCATGTCACAACATGTGGCCAAATTATGTGGCCTGTGAATACCCTCAGCATATCTCAGCAATTCTCAGCATCAGTTCAAATCATTTCTTGCACTATAATTTGCAAACCCACAGCTGATTGATCCTTTTTGACTGGTGCGACCATAAACCATCCAGCCAATGTATGTTAACAGTAGAGTATGAATATGAAACACATGAAATGGATTCTCCTGGGAGGTGCAATTCAAACCCGTACCACTCCCATACCCAAAACATGGCAACCACCCCCACCGCCATGCAGGTTGGCCTGGGCTTGGGCGAGTGCATCGCCTCGGGACTTCGGAAGATGGATGGACCACAGGCCAAGCCATGGATGGCCGACACTACAGACGCCCACAGCATGGCCTTGGCATGCCTTGGTCATCCGACGTGAGAATGAAACATCCTCATGTTCATCAGACCAATCATTTGCGGATGCGTTCATTGCTAAGTTAGTTGCATTTGGATGGTTGTGGGCTAAACATGGTTAAACCATGTACGATCCCTTTCCCTCTAACGCCAATTACTTTACTTCGTGTGATCCCCACCAAGACATTTATACATTTTGTTACTGGCAAATCTTCTGGCATTCTATCTGACATATTTTCTGGCATTCGATCTGGCATATCTTCTGGCATTCTACCTGGCATATCTTCTGGCAGATGTTCTGGCATATCTTCTGGCAGATGTTCTGGCATATCTTCTGGCATATCTTCTGGCATATGTTCTGGCATATCTTCTGGCATTCCATCTGGCATTCTATCTGGCATATCTTCTGGCATATTATCTGGCAAATCTTCTGGCATTCCATCTGGCATTCTATCTAGCATATCTTCTGGCATATTATCTGGCAAATCTGCTGGCATTCTATCTGGCAAACATTCTGGCACTTTATCTGGCATATCTTCTGGCATTCTGGCATTCTAGCTGACATTCTATCTGGCATTCTATCTGGCATACCTTCTGGCATTCTATCTGGCATATCTTCTAACATTCTATCTGGCATATCTTCTGGCACTCTATGTGGCATATCTTTTGGCGTGGATACTCGCGGTTGAGGTCCGGCAGGGAACACTGGGCGCGGATGGTCGCGGTTGAGGTCCGGCAGGGAACACTGGGCGCGGATGGTCGCGGTTGAGGTCCGGCAGGGAACACTGGGCGCGGATGGTCGTGGTTGAGGTCCGGCAGGGAACACTGGGCGCGGATGGTCTTGGTTGAGGTCCGGCAGGGAACACTGGGCGTGGATGGTCGTGGTTGAGGTCCGGCAGAGAACACTGTGGATCGCGGGTCGCAGTTGAGCAAGGACGACGAGGAGGACGAGGAGGAGGAGGAGAAGAGGCGGAGGAGGAGGAGGAGAAGGAGGAGGAGAAGGAGGACGAGGAGGCAACTGACATAAAATCTAACAACCCTCACCTGGCAGGTGGGGAAATACCTCCAAAAAAAGTATCCAAAAACCAGGGGTTATAGTATAGAATCTCTTGATTTGAGGATCCCATTGAAGTGAAACTTTCCATGAAATTCCTAGGCGGAAGGGACTGCCAGTTATATGTGCACCTCATTAAGCCAGGCCGAAGATGCGGTGCTGGAGCGGTTGGAGGCCACCCTCAAGCAGCTGAAGAGGTATCCAGACAGGTGGCCCACCGAAGTTCAGGAGACACTTCCAGTACCATGGACAGCATTGGGAAAGGGCATCAAACAGCATGAAAAAGCAGGTAGATTGATTAAAATTGAGATTGCTTACCAGTAGTACCGCACAAGGCGGTGGCGGAAGTTTCAGAAATAGGAAACCTATAGGAGAGCTTGGTTGTTGTGAATCAGGGATGGCAGAGCGAAGCCACTGATGGACTGAAAGGTGCTTGATCTCTTTCACTCTTTCTCTCTCTTTCTCTCTTTTTCTCTCTGTTTCTCTATCTTTCTCAGAATCTTTCTCTGATTATCTACCGACCTACCTACTGATCTATCTGTCTACCTATCTATCTGTCTGTCTGTCTATCTCTCTCCCTATCTATCTATCTATCTATCTACCTATCTATCTCCCTATCTATCTATCTATCTATCTATCTATCTACCTACCTACCTACCTACCTACCTTATCTATCTCGAAAAGTGGTCCGAACCCCTGGTGTTTTTAACATTTTGACTTCGAAATGTGCGTCGCGCCACAACGGCGTGCACTTTTTCGACATCGCAACTGCCAAAAGTGGTCCGGACCTGGTGTGTTTTGTACATTTTGACTCCGAAATATGCTTCGCGCCACAACGGCGTGCAATTTTTCATCTCTCATGTGGCCAGCTAGCTCCGCACCCGCCGCTTTAGCGAGCCTACTTTTCGACCCTCCGGAGCCACAAATCATTGGAAAAACACAGTGAATCGCGACTTTCCTACCTTTTCGCGCATCTTACTCTTTCTCTTCTACTATTCTCTCTTCTAATCTTTCTCTTCTCTCTGCCTCTTCCCTGCTCTGCTTTTCATCTGTCCATATTGTCGGAAGTTTGACTTCTAAACTTCCTTCGACCATTCTAGCTAGTCTGATATTTTTTGCAGCATTTTGAGTTCAGCAGCCGCAAACGTAATGAAATGGTGTTTGAACGAAAAGGGTTGTGTTTTCCTGTTTTCCCAGAAGAATTTGTGATTTGGATACTTTAGGTCTGAAAACTTATCCTTTACGTTTTCCCCGCATATATATATATATAGAGCTATATGTTACATATATATATATATATAGCTATATGTTACATATATATATGTGTGTGTGTGTGTTACACACACATATATATATAATATGGTACATATATATATCTCTCTCTCTCTCTGTATGTGGAATTGGGGGATGAACCAGCGTATCTTGATTGGAATGCAGGGCGCCCAAGCCAGAACAATCTATATAGATGGTCGAAAATTCCATCCCCATGTTTGCTGATTAAATCATATTGAATCCAGAGTGAGATGCTGAGATACTGTAGGAAGTGAGATACTGTAGGATACTGTAAAAATCCAGAGTGAGATTGTGGGTTTTGGATGATTTTGGTCTGCCCACATCGCATCACCAAGACTGTGGAAGTGCTGCAGAAGGGCAGGAAGTTGTCTGCGCGCTGTTGGCAAGCCATGGCGGCTTCAGGGCCCTGGCCTGATGCGGCCAAAGAGGAGGCGCAGAAGACGTGACATGGCTGCAGCATGGGTGGATGGCAGCAATGCCCTGAAATTGGAGGCGAAAAATAGTCAAGGACGATGGAGAGAATGGCAATGGAGAGAAAGAGAGAGAGAGAGAGAGAGACAGAGAGAGACAGAGAGAGAGAGAGAGAGAGAGAGAGAGAGAGAGAGAGAGAGAGAGAGAGAGAGAGAGAGAGAGAGACAGAGCAGGAGGCCAGAGCAGAAGACACAGAGAGGAGAGGAGGACACGCAGGAGAGGAGACAGAGAGAGAGACAGAGAGAGAAGAGACAGATGAGATGCGACGTCAGAAAGATGAGAGAGAAAGAGAAAGAGAACAGAGAAAGAGGACTAGTAGTGAGACGTAGCAGGGAATCCCCCCCCGCACCGAGAGAGAAATGAAGATAGTACGACGAGAGAGAGAAGAGGTAGAGAATCGATGAGAGGGGGAGGAATCTCAGATTTCCGCATGAACCTAGACCTTAAAGCTCCCCCTGAGAGTATAACTGAGAGCAGACACTCCACCATTGAGTCTGTTCTCTCCCAGGCCTCTACTCTTCCTTTGCTGTGACGGAAGCCCGCTTCCCATGACCCGTCCCCCGCCGTGTTTCGCCTACTGGAAGAGAATATCATACGACAATGCGTATTCTTTCACCCACCCCCCGTCACGAAAGACGATGAGAGAATCTTCGTAAGAGACCCTTGAAGACGACGACCGAACAGACCCGTAGATGAATTCCCTCCCCGAGAGCGATTGACGAAGGCATGACAGAGCCGCAGAGATGAACTAGACCGCACCCAGTCCGAGATAAGACGGCACCGGCAAAGTCCAAGACCGCCGCACGACCGACCCTTGACGGGAAGGTCGCCCAAGAGAGACAAGGAGAGACAGGTCGAGAGAGAGGAGAAGGACAAGAGAGAGAGAGAGAGACAGAGAGGAGGAGAGATGAGACAGAGAGAGAGAGAGAGAGAGACAGGAGACAGGAGAGAGGAGACAGATGAGAGAGAGACAGAGAGAGACAGAGAGAGAGACCAGAGAGAGAGACAGAGAGAGCCAGACAGAGAGAGAGAGAGGACAGAGAGAGAGGACCAGGCAGCCAGAGAGAGAGAAGAGAGGACAGAGAGAGAGACAGAGAGAGAGACAGAGAGAGAGAGACAGAGAGAGATAAAGAGGGATAGAGGGATAGAGGGATAGAGGATGATCCAGGTGGCTTTGATTAACCGCAATACGCATTGATTCGAAGCAAGACATGAATAGCATATGGGACCGAAAGATTGCAAAGTTCCGAAAGGATTTTGTTTTGGCCGACTTAGTCTGAAGGTCCATGTTTGGATATCGGGGGAGCTTGCATCGTACATATTCAATTCCTAGTTCACCCATGTTTACCCTTTCTGGTTGCTTTCATTCATCGCGGATTTCGTGCGTTGGGCAATTTTCTGTACCTGTTGGCTGATCGATCGCTAATTGCTGGTCTAACAAAGTTGTGCAGATTTTGGGCCTCGCCTACTTGCACAAGTGTAGGGAGTGAAAAGTACCGGAGAGTATCACTCAGTATATAGGGCAATCAAAAAAATAAAAGGATGTCAAATATGTCCACGCGCCAGTTCTTGCCATTGAAATTTGTCGCCCATATTATCTATAAAGTTTTACCATGGTGTTGGTGCAGCTCTCGGGCCCAGGGTGGCTGAAGCAGAAGCTGCTGCCTATGATTTTGGATCCTTGGTAGCGCCAAAAGAAAACAAAGAATTGAATTGTTTGATGATTTATGGCTTATATAGAGTTTAAACTAACAATACAAACCCACCCAATTGGGGCCCAAGTTTGGCCCCGAACCCCATGGAGCTGGCGATCATGTTTATTAGCACACACCTCAGGTGGCGAGACGGAGGAGGGGTTTCAGGCTGCCAAGTCCTTAGAGGCCCAAGCATCCTCGGGTTCTGCTGAGTGCATGCTGCAGCTGGGAGAACCTTGACTCAACAAGAGAAAACTTAAGATTTCTCAAGGGGATGTTCAGACCTTGTGGATTTTATGAGTATTGTTGGGCAGATGCGAAGGGAAACAATATCAAACAATGGTGAATGGTGCTGTGCTGATTCTTGTTGAATCCGATGCCCTTCCTAGGGCCTAGGGTCAGAAGTTTGCAGGAGCCAAAAACACACCGCTAGCGCAGCTTTTTAATCTTTTTGGCAAATGAAAGGGTTTTGCCATTCCAGCGCAACTCATCCCAATCTGCCCAGGTCATGTATGTGACTGCCAATGGAGTTGAAAAAGATGCTTGCCTGGATTTCCATGGTGCAGCTGGTGCAGATTCACGATTTGTCCACTGAGAGACATCATATTGGCACCATGTTTTTCCCGACGCTTCAAAGGCAAAGTTGTGCACAGATTGGAAAGATGGCCTATTGTATGCTCATGAACAGGTCGGCATTGTTTTTCTTATCATTGGTCGGAACGGTTGAATGCTCGAAAGTATTCGTAAGTGAAGAATTGGAATGGCGTAGAATAGGTAGGTTCCCCACTCCTCCGGCATAGGGTTTTTTGAACTGAGGATATGTCCAAAGGCTTTCACTGGATACAAAAAGGTGCTGAGATGGGACATGTCGAAGCACAAAACTGACGCTTGGAAGTCACGGAGATTCCGCTGTGAGTTCAGTGTTTGGATCAGTGCAACTCACTTTGCCTCAAGTCTCAGATAGAGATGATAGAGCCAAGCAGTCGAGCAGGACAAGGGTCAGCAAGGTGCATGCACCACAATTCGGCACACGTCCAACTGGCAATCCACCCTTAAGAACTTTTTAGAGGAAAAACCTGCCCCCTTGATAAGAGAGAAGTTGGGTTTGCCTTAGGCTTGGGCACCATGCTTCGCAACGGCCTTGGCGTTGAGATTCAGAAGGAGGACGCAGCGGCGGATCCGGGGTGGACTCGCCTTTGATCCGCTTGATCTTTGCGATGCCTGACATCCCGAGATCCCGAGATCCCTTGACGTCCAGGAAGCAGCTCGATGGTTCGAGAAGGCTGGTGAAGTCGGCCACGCCGAAGCACAGTTCAATCTTGGAGAAATGTCTCTTTGGAGCGATGGTTTAGCAGGCTTGGGCAGGCTTAAACAGGCTCGGAAGGTGTGGACTTGCAAGGTCAAACCTTCAGTCTCAGCAGAGCACTTCCATAGAAATCCTAACATGCGAACCTCTCAAGCTCTAGCATCTATATTTGGTTGCAGTCCGTGCCTCCATGGTCTAGCTGAAAAATCTTGAAAAGAGATCGGAACTGCCCATGTACATCCATGCGCACATTTCGTTCCGATCAGAGCCAAGGCTATGGGACGCGGAACTTCCACAAGACCTTGAGGCTGGAGTTCAACTGTTCCAGTTCCTAAGCTGCAGCGAACAGCCCATCAATGTCCAATGCTGTTTAAGTACTGAGTAATTACTGCAGTTAAGCTTCGAATTTCTGGCTGAAACTGAATTCGACCCCTGGAATCTGACGACTTCAGTACTCGTACTCGTACATCTCAGAATCTCAGACAATTTAGACGCCATGGGCCATGGACCTTGGGGGCCATACTTTGGAGTCCTTGACGTCCTGGCTTTCCCGGCTCGCAGCTCAGGAAGGCAGCCCAGGCAGATTTGCACGCTGCTCAATTCAAGCCTCCCAGCTTCATCATGGGAAAGAAACGGCAAGATTCTGGACGTGGTTGGAGTTGCTGACTCAAGAGTTGGTCATGTACAGATGGCATGTTGATGATTCCGGGCCACTGTCACCAGCTCTGGCTTCAGAAAGGGACTCAGGATGATTAGGGATGATTTAGGAAAAACAATCCCGGAGGCAGCATAGTTTGGGGCCAAACACTAGGACGGCGTGCCATCGTGAGGGTCACATCGCAAAGACATCCATTGACTGCAGTGACAATCAGTTCTTCACGACTTTCGCACTTCAGGTTGGGCCTTGCACTGCGTCGTGGCTTGGGACCCTTAGCTGCTTTAGATTGAAACTTCCTGCCAGACTGTGAGATCTGTGAGGTTGTGTGATGGTTGCAGACTTGAACTGGCACAAAATGAATCTTTTCCAGATGTATGAACTGCATGAACTCAGTGTGAAGATGCGAGGAGTCGAGATGGATGTACCAAGAGGCATGGAGTACATCGAGAAAGCTGCGAACCAAGGGCTCGCTGAAGCTCAATACTTTGCCACTTGCCATTCTTTCCACCGCTTTCAATTATATATAATTATAAAGGAATTTGACCTCATCAAGTCTGCTGTATCGTGGGGGGGGGCAAATGGGCATGGCTCAAAATGGGTATGTAGAGAAAATGAGTCATATTATTGGATACTATTGGATATTGATCGTTCTTCCTTTTTGTATCCTGTTTTATGGGTGAATGAACAATAATTCTTTCCATGTTAGCAAGCACCCAGACCCTGGCGGAACGTGGCGCATTTGTTCATTGTGGGGTCCCATGGGGAGGATGATCATTAGCAGAACGAGATTACCCTTCTGTATCCTTTGCTGACCTAAGCTGGCAACGCAAATGCCCAATCTGCATGAGAAGTTATTTAGGAAAGGGCAGACATTGATTTCCTACTACCAGGTTGGCTTCCCGAGGCTAGTAGTCCCAGAGATTTCCCACACATTGCGATAAAGATTAATTTCCTACATATTTACCATGCATGTCCCAAAACGTTCCGACAAGTTTCCCATCAATTTCCAAGGAGTAATTTACATTAATTTACCACAAATTTCCCATGGTTTCCTCATAAATGTTCTTGCAAATTCATCAAATTCATCACAACTTGTTCTTCGATCTCAGATGGGCACCTGCCTCTTCAGTGGCGACGGCCTCCGCCGGGATGTGACGAAGTCGGCAGCCTGGTTTCGCAAGGCGGCAGAGCAGGGCGCCGCTGGGCAGAACGCCACGGGGAGTGGTTGGGAGGTGCGGAGGCTGGTTATGTGACTTGGTAATTTCGATTTCTTCAAGAATGGGGAATGCCGGAATACCCCAATTTCATATATATAATTTCATATAATTTATGAATCCTGGAGGGAATTTCCACTACAAAAGTAGTGGACTTGGGTCCTCTGTAAAATAAGTTTTTCAATGGTTTTTACAGTCCCCCTAGGACCATGTGTCCTTGCATTTTGTAGTAACCCTAGGTCACATATGTTTCTAGATTCAAACATGGGCTGGTCATAGAAGTTTGTAGTGGTTAAGTATGCGAGATAATAGTCGACCCAAAATGGATTTCTGAGTTCACTCAGATTTGAACTAAAGTACTTTGTAGTGAATTTGTGGGGTTCCAAGATCAATGTGCTGAAATCAGCTGGGTTTGACCCCTGAAGAACTTTGTAGTGTTTCTTGGGGAATCTTTATGAGATGCCACATGCATATACATACATCAATCAATAATATATGCATCCGCATTCTATGTCGGTGTAATTGGGCTCAATGTGGACATCAGGATTTCCAAAGTGCCACAGGTGGATTGATCTTGAAGACTCAGTGGGATCTACTTAAAAATCACTACAAACATCTACGTGGTTTTTTCAGGGTCTCTTGAAGACCTCTTGTTAGATCCTTTGGTTTTTGTAGTAACCCTTTATCCAGGCTGGGGTTGCACTTTTGTCGTGATTTTTTTTTTGGCCTGGGCATGGAAAATGTAGTGGGTGGGGTTGGGCAGAGCTACTTTACAGCTACAAAATCTTGACCCAACAGTCCTCCCCAAATACCAACCCCGATATTTATGATAATTTGAGTGAGGGGAAGTAATGATAAATCATGATAATCTGTATTTCCTGGTTTCGGACAAACCTAAGGTGGGAAAAAATAAACTGTAATAAAATGTGTTTTAAAAAAATAGACGTCCGATGATTTGGACGTGTTTGATCGTTTTTGAACCTCCCTAAAGTAGACGCTTGATTTGAAGGGGACGGACGGGATAGTTCAAAACCCATGCGAGTAGATTCAGAAAAGCCTGGAGGTTGGTAGGGGATGACTTTACAGATCATTGAAGATCCAGATCCGGTTTCAGCACATTGGGTGGCATCACTATGTTCAGCCAAGCTGAGGATGTGATGGCACAATATAGCCTTGGTGTTCGGGTCTCAAGACCTGGAAGGTGTAGCAATTCACTGTAGCGGCATTTCATTGGAACATGGATTGGCTCTGGCACTGAAGATCTCACCCATGGCATTTTGACCATGACACAAGCATTGTGAACTCCAGGTCATGCACGAGCTTGGCGAGGGCGTAACTTGGAACACTGAGATTGAGAAGTGGCAATGGTTGTTGTCTTTTGGTATCCTTTGGTCAGGTTGCTACAGGGCTGTTTGGCGTCTCTATCTCCCTACACAGTCCATTGTAGATAGGTGGGTTCCGGATGGTTCCGGGAGGCGGCTTATCAGCAGGGAAGCTGCTGCAACTGGATAGCCATGATGCTAGTGGGTGCGCTTGCAATGCATAGCTTTTCACTCGTGAGATTTGGTGCTCCGAAACTTCCACCCTTGTAAGATGTTGGTTCTTGCAGCCAACGCCAGAAATGGGCGACACAGGGGACCAGACTACCGTTTACCAAGGTTCCACAGAGTGATTCTCAGGCTCAGCATCTTGGCATCTAGAGGCAGCCGCTGTGGCCGCTGCGGTGTTAGCAATGCAAGTGGTTAAGGAATTGATGGAAAAAATGCCTGCATTCTTTGCGGCCAACCTTCTTTCCATTTCATATTGTTGGTTCTACACAGCGTATGCTCAGGATTCGGCCAGTAAACAAAGCAAATGGTTGAAAAGGATTGAAAAGGGAGAAAATGGTCTAGACATCACTGGGACAAAAATGCAGCAAACTGATTTCAACCAATTCACAGGGACCCATTGGGCGCAGCTGGTGCGACATTTGGAGACCAGATTGCGGACTGAATGATATATTATTATAAGGAAATACATGGGAAATATTGAAAGATATTGAAAGACACTAACAGTACTGGCAGTGAAGCTGGAGTTCACAGCACGCAACTGCAACCACCTGTTCGCCATTTGGGGGGTGCATTAGCATCAGTCTAGCAGACCAACCAGGCAATCATTCAACCAATCATTCAATCATCATTAAACCAAACAATCAACCAATCAACCAACCAACCAAGCCAAGCCAAACCAAACTAAACCAACCAACCAAACGAATCAACGACAAATCAACTGATCAAACTGCTCTATGGCGTTCCTCGCCAAGGCATTGGTTTCGTGCAGCTGCAGCACAAGGGTCCTTGGAGGCACAAGCCCGCGTACGTGGTCCAGGTGCAGCGCCGTGGCACCATGCAAGGGGGACATGGGGCCAAAATTGGTACAGGTCAGGTTCCATAGCCATAGAGCCCTTCATAGCCCTTCAAATCCACAGGTTTTAATACGAGTTCGGTCATTGCCAATCCATGACAACTCTGCAGGCACCTTACCCACCCTTACCCTGTCAAACAACAAAAAGGCGAGAGTTCCAAAGTGGGTTTCCCACTGCTGTCACTGCTGAGCTCATTGGCTGCAGGCTTATTGCCTCCTCCATCCGCTTGAGTCATTGTAGTTTCTTCTCTTGGCAGATCAAACGAAACCTCGAACAGTGCCCGGCCCAAAGGGTGAGGCTGCGACAGGCACCCACCAAAATTGGATGGTCAAACACTGAAAATCATTAAAAATAAAAAAAATAGTTGGAGGCCGGCAATATTGTCACATATTGTCACAATGGGTTGATTTGCTGAGAGGGTGTAGGTAGCGCGTGCTACTCCATAGTGGCATGGGAGTCGCACAACCATCTCTCACAGCCAAGGCTGACAGAGGTTCATGTGCTCCTGCTGGAAGTGGTTTTGAATGAATAAACCAACTGGAATATATTGGGGAGACAATAGGGAAATAATGGGAAATATTAAACAAGTAAGAGTCAATACTTCAATATGGTAAACTGCAGGGACGTGTTGGACATATTCTGTCACGAGGATCCCAATTGACTCTACATTTGGGGGATGAGTTGATACCAGCGACCATTACTTGAGCAGGTGAAAGTGCGGAGACATATTCAAGATTCACACCAAAATGATATGAGGCACTAAAGCATTTAAAGACATTTAAAGATTTTAAAACAGCCCTAGAAAAATGATACGCTGCTGATCCAGCTCGGCCAGACAGTGAGCCCTGCCAGCTCAGAGCACGTGCAAAGCTCGAGGCGTTGCGCCATTGACATGGCTGCTATGGAGAAAGTGCGAAAGTCAGCGGGGCCACAGAGGGTTGCAGCATGTTGCAGCAAGATAGTTTCATAAGATTTCATAAGATTTCACAAGTTCATATTCGTGCCGGAAAGGTCATGGCTGTCAGATGTTGTCAGCATTTTTTGAACTAAGCTTCTTGCAACTTAATAACTGAACTGCAACAATAGGGAAGAGAGCAGCAGAAGAATTCATCGCATAAAATGAAGCAGGAACAGAGTTGTGTGGATGTTAGCCTTGCTGGCTTTCTGAGGTGCCAACAAAGAATGGCACCGTTCAGGGAGTATTGATTGAAGGCTGCAATACCCACGAGGATATCGCAACAGCTGCATGGAGTAGGTCGGAACCTAAGGGGCGGCCACCAGAAGGTATTGAGACAGCGCCACCTACACCATGCAAGGGTTTTAATATGCTCATATAAATAGTTTGAATAGTTTGAATTGTTTGAATGACTGCAGTGCCCAATACCGTAGTTATCGGCAGATATGGCCTGCGCTGCATGACTTGGCACCTGCTCCTGCAGCTGACGGGCTCAAGAAGCTCAATTTCAGAACTACATTAACAAAGGGCTGGAAGGAAAACCAAGGTAACCATAGCGACCTATGCAGCATTGTTGATTGGCTCTTTGCAAAGATATTCGGTCATCCTGAGCAATGCTAGGGCAGACCGCGAAGGAAAATCTATTGCAGAGGCAGGCTTTGGCTTTCAAGCTCTTCAGGTCTTATCCTGAAGCATCACTTTCTTTTCATGCTGAGCTGAGCCATGCGGATGGCAAACAGCTGATATGGCGGATGCAGGCCCAGCCAACTTACAGCACTAGCTTTTCACCAATGATTTGGATCACTCGGGAGCCTAGCCAAATTTAATCTGTCAACCTGTGTTTGGCCTTAGCTACACAGGCCAGATCATTCTTCATTGGCCGGTGCGAGGATGCAACCCACCATCCAATGCCATCTACATTCACAGGTTGCAATGGTTCCTGGATATTTGCTACTTCATATCACTTCATAATTCCCGGACAAGACTTGCCTGCTCTGTCACCTGCTAGACTTGAGCGAAATCTCTCCGAGATGAAATTTGGCAAGCAGTTGGAGGAGCCGCTTGGCCTCAAGACACCAAGAGGCAGCAAGAGAAACAGCTTCCGATGCTCCCGGGCCAAGGCATTGTCTCCAGCTGGAGCGTGATATAGCATCGTATGGAATCGTATGGCATGATATAGCATGATCATGCACCAGCTTGGTTGTTGAAGCTGAAGCCAGGTATGAGTTGCCTGAATGGAAAGGCGCAAAGGGCTGGTGGGATGAATGGCGGGATTTCAAGGCCACAGAATTCCATAGAGATCTTTGGTGTTTGATGTGTTTTTCTCTTGTTCCTCTTGGCTGCGGGATTTTATCATAGGAGCTATACCGTGGCTCATCCGAGTCGTCACCAGCGCCAGGCCAATACTTGCCCTACAAGCAGCTCAAAAGGAAATTGGAAGAGCTATCAACCAGGAGCGGCTGTGACTTTGGATTGCGGCGTTTCTGGTCTTGTGCATTCAGAAGAGATGGTCGTTGATTCATGCTGATTCTATATTCCCAAGATGCCGGATGGATCTGAAACGGAAGTCGCGAGAAACGGGAAAGCTTTTGCCAGCCATCAGATCTCAGCCCCTGCATCAGGACAGACACACCAAGATCACAAGGAGCCGGCAGCCGGAGCATGACTCACTACAGCATTGGACACGTGAGCAATGCCTAGAATCAGCAGTTGTTGATGGGCTTTGGGGGATTGCACAAATTGGTTTAACTCCGATTATTACAATTAATGTCGTATATCACGGGATCCATGCAAAGCCCATGGTGGAGCACCATGTGTAATATCCAGCGGTGACACATGGTGACACTATCTTCTGTCAGAAGGCTTTCGAGACTTCAAAGCCGGAAGTCATGTATATATAATTATATATATATATACTGTGAGTTGCACTCCATGCAACATAGCATGGAACATGACATGTTTCAATATGCAGCTGACCGCTGCCGTTTTACCACTTCAAGGGTGGGCTTGACTAGCCCATTTGGCTACAGCCGACGCTGGCCTCTCGGAAAAGCTGGCGCTGCTACTTCTTTGAGGTGGACTTCGTGTGCCCCCCGTCTTCACATTGGTGAGCGGAGCTGGTTCCTTCAACGGGGACTACTTCCTGGAGTTCGGGCTGCGCTGTGCTGCTTGGACTTCTACCTCTTCGAGCTCGGGCTGGGCGCTACATCATCTCCTTCCTCCTCGCGGTCGGGCTTTGCACCTACGTGGTTTCCTACGTGCTGGAGCTCTGGGCTTGGCTACGTGGTCTTCTACCTGCTGGTGATCGGGCTGCGCCCTACGTGGACTTCCTCTACTTGGACCTCTACGACTTCGAGCGCTACGCTCTGGACCACTTCGACCTGGTGCTCTACGACCTGGTGCCCTACGACCTGGACTTCCTCGACGTTGACCTCTTTGACCTGGAGCACTACGCCCTGGACCTCTTCTACCTGGAGCTTTGCTGGTGGCGACTATGTCTTCGGCTGCGAGCTCTACTGGCTATGACTCCCTGCGCGACTCCAACATCCCGGTCTTCAATGGAGCTCTGGCCGACTACCGGGAGTACAGGCGCCGCATCAAGCTCTACATGGGTAAGATGAAGTTGCTGAAGCGCGAGGCCGAAGGGGTGCTGAACATGCTAGGCTCCCTTAGCGGCACCGCATGGAAGCTGATGGAGAACTACGACCTGGCCGATGCCGAGAAACCTGATGCCATAGACCGCATCCTGAAGGTGCTTGACAAGGCGTTTGAGTACGACAGTCGCGTGCAGTTGCCCCAGGACTTTGACAAGTTCTTCACGGTTCTGCACCGAAGGCCTGGCCAAACCTTGCTGCAGTACGTGACGGACTTTGATGAATGCTACCGGAAGTTGGAGGATCACAAGATCAGCCTTCCATGTGCAGTCCAAGGATGGCATCTGATGAGGAGAGCTGGACTGACCAAAGAACAACGACAGCTGATCATCACCCAAGCCCCGACTCTGGAGCGCAACAAAGTCCAAGAGGCCATGTACCTCATACTGGGACAAGATCACCGACATGTTGCTGGACATGCTGGCCAAGGTGATCGCTTCCACCGTCGTGGCAAGGCATACTATGGTGAAGATGCAGCTGATGATGGTTCTGCCTACGACCCTGTGGAGTCCTATGAGTATGACGAGACCTACTGGCCTGAGGCTGACTATGACGACACCGCGTATTACCACAACGACCTTGACGAGCAGGAGGACTGGGAAGCTGGCGATGAGTTTGATCATGAAGCTGGCTACTATGGTGATGAACCTCCCCCTGAACCTTCTGCTGAAGCTCAAGCCTATGATGAGGCCTACGCGGCCTACCTGGACGCCCGAAAGAGGTTCAGTGACCTCAAGCTGGCAAGGGGTTTCCTTCCAGTTGTCGCTTTGGCTGATGCTCAAGCAAACCTCACACCTGGGCTGTCACCTACCTCCTCTACTTCGTCTCCTGGCCGTGGAAAGGGCAAAGGCCCTAAGGGCTCAAAGGGCAAAAGCAAGGGCAAAGGCAAGAATGTTGTCCGATATCCTCCAAGGAATCCCAAGGAGGCTGATCCACGTGGGCGAGCACACGCCACTTTGGCGACAACATGCTTGCGATGTGGTCAACAAGGACACACCACGCACAACTGCCCTCAACCAAGATCGACGACCTCGAGCCCTACAAAGAAGCGTGCCGCACCTACGGAAAGCACTGCGCTTGATGGTGATGGTGAAGCTGGCATGGTGACGTTCCAAGACCAATTTGGTCAAGAGCGCTGGGATTGCGTGATGCTGGACCCTGGTGCCAGTGCATTCCTCATGGGTTATGGACCCTTCAGCCGCTACGTCAACATGCTGGAGCAACGTGGCTTCCCCAAGGAGCACCTCAAGTTCCTCAAGTGCGACCGCAAGTTCTTCTTTGGAGGTGATGCTTGCAGCCAATGCCGATGGACTGTGATGCTGCCTGTGGCTGTCTCTGGGCGCTGTGGCTTCATTCAGGCCTACATCCTCCCTGGCGAGACACCTATGCTCATGGGCAGGCCAATTATGGAGGCCATTGGACTCATCTTGGACTGCAAGCGACATCGAGTTCGACTTGATGACGAACCCTGGCAAGACCTCATTGTCGGTCTGCATGGTGAGTACCTCATGCCCCTGCTGGACTTCGACAAGCACGATGTGGAGGAATCTCCTCACTTTGAGCTGGTGGTGCCCAACGATGGTGGAGTCACTGGCGACCCTGTGCAGTTCACCGACTTCAA